CGTCCCGCGGCGCCGCGTCGTCCTCCGTCCCGCTCCCGGTGCCGGCACCTGCACCGCGGTGAAGAACCATGAGTGACCCCCGGGGCAACACCCCCCTAAAATTAATTTTGAGCCCCCCCCAACATGGGAAACGTCATCTAACGTCATCTAGAAGCTCAACAAGACCTTGGACGTGGTGTCCCCCAACGACCTTCTAAGTTGGAGAGATGTGGGGTTGATGGCGCCGTGGTCTCACCACCCCGGCCACCGGCACGTCGGAGGGTAGGTGACATCACGGCCATCATGGACACTGTCCGTGCCCTCCACGTGCCACCATCGTCCCATTGACATGGTCCTCCACCACGTCCTCCTCTCTCGGGTGGACGGAGTCAATGGCCGGACCGTTGGGTGGATCAGGAATTGGGGGGGGTGGTGGCATCTGGAGCATCGTGGTCAACGGCTCCACGTCTGGATGGAGACCACTGACCAGTGGTGTCACTCCGGGGTGGAGGGTGGTGGCATCTGGAGCATCGTGGTCAACGGCCCCACGTCTGGATGGAGAACACTGACCAGTGGTGTCACTCCGGGGTGGAGGGTGGGGGCATCTGGAGCGGTGGAGGGTGGTGGCATCTGGGGCATCGTGGTCAACGGCTCCACGTCTGGATGGAGACCACTGACCAGTGGTGTCCCTCAGGGGTACGTACTAGGACCAGTACTGTTCCATATCTTCATCAACCACATAGATGGTGGGGCCGAGGGCACCCTCAGCACGTTTGGAGGTGACCCCAAGCCAAGGGGGGTGGTTGATGCTCTGTGGAGGTGACCCCAAGCCAAGGGGGGTGGTTAATGCACTGGAGGGAAGGGATCCATTCAGAGGGACCTCATGAGGTTCAACCAGGCCAAGTGCAAGGTCCTGCACCCAGGTCAGGGCAACCCCAGATGTGGACACGGGCTGGGGGGATGAAGGGATGGAGGGTGGAGAAGGACTCGGTTGATGAGAAGCTCAACATGACCCAGCAGCGATGCTCCCCCTCTACTCTGGTGAGACCCCACCTGGAGACCCACGTCCAGGGCTCCTCAGGACAAGAAGGACCTGGTAGAGCGGGTCCAGAGGAAGCCACGAAGATGACCCAAGGGCTGAGACACCTCTGCTATGACGAGAGGCTGAGAGAGTTGGGGTTGGTCAGCCTGGAGAGGAGAAGGCTCCAAGAGACCTCATGGTGGCCCTTCAGTTTTTGATAGGACCCGTAGTGACAGGGCGAGGGGGGAATGGTTTTAAGGCAAAAAAAGAGAAATTCGGGCAAGATCTAAGGAAGAAATTCTTCATGGCGAGGGTGGTGAGACACTGGAAGAGGTTGCCCAAAGAGGCTGGAGATGCCCCATCCCTGGAAGTGTTCAAGGCCAGGTTGGACGGGGCTTTGAGCAACCTGATCTGGTTGGAGATGTCCTTGCTCATGGAGTAGATGAGATCCCTTGAAAGGTGAGGACCCTTCAAAGGTCCCTTCCAACCCA